TTGTTACTAGAGGGTGTGTTCCCATTGTCTGAGAAGACACATACTGGTTCTGAAGTGCTCTTCTGTTAGGTAATGATTTAGCTGGGGGTAGGGTGGTTCCTGATCCAATCATTTGTGTAAAGCCAAGTCTTATAGGAGAGGTAGAGGAGGAGAATAAAGAGTTATTTCCTTCATGTGCTATTACACATTATTAGGACATGCTGAACAGACGGTTATTCAGAAGTTAAATACAGGGAAGGACTTGTCTATAGATCTTGATGAGACATTTTTGTCAGCTATGCTAGATTCAGAGAGTCATATTTCCTCAGAGGATCAGCAGTCTAAAGGTGATGTATTTGGTTTACAGGAAATGTAAGACAACACACCACTTACTAGAGATAAGTTGATGTCTGAACAAGAGTCAGATGTTGAATTACAAGGCTTTGTCTCAAGAAGGTCCCTGTTTGTTATTATAAGAACCCGGGTGTATTCATGATAAAATGGCGTCCCCCTGATGCTTCAGTAGAGGATGAGTGGCAAATCCACCATCAAATTGTAGTACCTAGGACATATCTGAGAACAGTAATAGGGCTTGCGCATGACAGGTGTCAGACCTACTTTACCTTTTAAGGGAGTTTCTTTTCTGTTAGGTAATGATTTAGCTGGGGGTAGGGTGGTTCCTGACCCAATCATTTGTGTAAAGCCAAGTCTTAGAGGAGAGGTAGAGGAGGAGAATAAAGAGTTATTTCCTTCATGTGCTATTACAAGGGCTATGGCTAAGAAATTAGGACATGCTGAACAGACGGTCAGTCAGAAGTTAAATACAGGGAAAGACTTGTCTATAGATCTTGATGAGACATTTGTCAACTATGCTAGATTCAGAGAGTCATATTTCCTCAGAGGATCAGCAGTCTAAAGGTGATGTATTTGGTTTACAGGAAATGTAAGACAACACACCACTTACTAGAGATAAGTTGATGTCTGAACAAGAGTCAGATGTTGAATTACAAGGCTTTGTCTCAAGAAGGTCTCTGTTTGTTATTATAAGAATCCGGGTGTATTCATGATAAAATGGCGTCCCTCTGATGCTTCAGTAGAGGATGAGTTGCAAATCCAAAATCAAATTGTAGTACTTAGGACATATCGGAGAACAGTAATAGGGCTTGCGCATGACACACCAATGTCGGATCATTTGGGGGTCACAAAGGCCTACCATAAGGCATTGACTCACTTCTTCTAGACTAAGATGAGAAGGGATAAAGTCGACTATTGCAGATTTTGTCATATCTGCCAAGAAGTGGGCAAACCTAATACGAAGATCCCGCCTGCTGCTTTGAAGCCTATTCCTGCTTTTGATGAACCATTTACCAAGGTCATTATAGACTGTGTGGGTCCCTTACCTAGAACCAAAGCTGGTATTCAGTATTTGTTGACAATAATGTATGCGTCGACACGCTTCCCTGAAGCAATTCCCCTGCCAAACATATAGTCTAGAACCATTGTCAATGCTTTGACCAAGTTTTTCACCAATTTTGGTTTGCCCCAGCCAGTACAGTCTGATCAAGGTTCCAATTTCACATCTTTAAACAGATAATGCAGGAGTTAAGGGTTAAGCATCATACATCCAGTGCATACCATCCAGAGTCCCAGGGGGCTCTTGAGAGGTTTCATCAAACCTTGAAAATATGATTCGAACCTATTGTTTATCTAATAAGGAGTGGTTTCTACCAATATAAGGTGATGCCTTTTGGATTAAAAAATGCCCCTGCACCCTTTCAAAGTATGATCAATCATCTACTTAGTGATGTAGATGCAAGTGAGGCATACATTGATGATGTGATTGTGTATAGTAACACTTTTCAAGAGCATTTGTCATATATTAGGGCATTATTTGTGAAACTTTCAGAGGCAAATTTGACTGTAAGCCTTACAAAAACAGAATTTTGCCATGCTGTTGCTAAATATTTAGGCCATATTGTCGGTAACAGCCATGTTAGACCAGTGTTTGTGAAGATTGAGGCAATTGTTAATTTCCCTGCACCTCTATGTAAGAAAGAACTGATGAGATTCTTAGGAATGGCGGGGTACTATCGGAAATTTTACCCAAACTTTTCGACCATTGCTAACCCACTGACCTGTCTCTTGAAAAAAAATAGCAAATTTATTTGGGATGAATCATGCCAACAGGCTTTCCAGCAAATTAAAACACTTCTCATGGTCTCTCCAGATCTTTTAACACCAGATTTTGATAAAGAATTTTTGTTGCAAATTGATGCTAGTGGTGTGGGTTTTGGGGCAGTTTTGTTACAAGAAGATGAAAATTATGTTTGTCATCCTGTTGCTTATTTTTCCAAAAAAGTTTTCGAAATGTCAAAAAAAAATGATAAAAGAAGCATTATACATTTATAAAACTTGTGTGAAAGTAGGAAATTTGTACACGATTAGGCTGGTACTTAAAATATTGAAAATGTACATAAAGTACAGTGTTTTTACTATAGCAAGTGAAGTTTATTTACCTGTATGACCCATGTTGAACCCACGTGAAATAAATTAATTATAATACTTATAAAATACAAATTCCTCAATGGTGCTTACCGTAAAACATCGGCAGGTTTCGTATCATTTAGTCAAAGTCGTGCCGCTTAGAAATATTCATATGAACACAGGAGGGTTTATTGTTATTCATAAAAGTGTCAGACATATTTAACATTCGTGCAAGACAATGAAACAGTTATTGAAAGCCACCTAAGCACTCCTTTTAATTTCAAATTCAATGAAACCATTATTGTATTTTTTAATGCAACAGTACCAATTTCTTTGTTTGATCATTATGGCAACAGGATCACACAACTTCATTCAATTTGTAATACACAGATTTCGCATAATCGGGCGGATTTGCGGAATGTTACGTTTTGGGCATTCAAAATATTTTATTGTTTCAAACCCATGCTGATTTTAGGTGATGCTTAACGTGCTTTTCAATTAAAAATATCCACTGGTATTTCACTATTACCAAAAAGAGAACAATTTGATTATATATTCTAAAGTAGAATGACAAATAAAAAGGGTCCATGAAGCATTGCTTAAGTGCACTTGTCCTTTTGGTTAAGCAATGTATTTCAATATCACTACAAGAGTAGGCGAAAGTGACTACATGTATCAAATGCGCTATGGCTATTGAAGGATCTTGCGAAAAGAGGCGTGATCAAGAAGTAACTACCCAAAACAGACTTGATAAGTAGTATGCTGACAATTTTCTCATCGTCAATCACACCTTCCAGAACATAGAAATAAAGAAAGATAACTCTGAATGATTTCTTACAACTTTACGTAGATACGTTTAACTTGTAGGATATGTAATTATATTTTATTTTGAGACTGAATACAGTTCGTTATCTCAATAACCTTCTATGATATAAACAACATCACATCACTGTTGTGATCTCGTCCCTATTATCAGCGCTAGAATGGTCTATACCAATGATACAGTGTACCAGGACCAATATTGAAACAGCAGTGTGATATTCTATCTATTAGTCTTACTATATAAATACATGTACACTGTAGTTTAAGTTGTTATTGCGCACTGTAGCCCGATGGACAATTGATTTCACCATGCGATTTTTTTTTAAAACCAGCGCTAGCACTAAAACATCTTAAGTTTACACGTGTGAAAATCGGATCCGGTTTCAAATTTAATTCAACAATAAAAAAGTCTGACTGTGACTAAGTCTTGTCCTTTGAAATAAAATCTTTTTGAATTGAAATAATTAAGACACAGACATACAATTCTTAATTGCTTTTTCGGACCTAAAGCTCTTTTATTTTTAGAACAAACTAACCTGGGATTATTTTTTTTAATTTTAGGCCTATATAATCTTTTTAAAATTTACTCTTTTTAAATTCGCAAAGAATGAATAAAAACATGACATTCCAGAAAAATGGAAATATGATAAAATACTGGTAAATTATTAATAATGAAGTTTGTGTTTTTATTAACTTTGGATATAATTCTTAATATATCTAAAGACAGAATGGCATGTACACTGTGAACATTATGATTTTGAGAATTATTTGTAATAAAGATAATTTCCCTCTGAAAGACGTGGACAGACTCAACATCATTTTGCTATTGTTTTTCTATAAATATTTTACATATTTTTCTTGGCAAACTTTTCATTTTTATTTTCACTAGTATGACATAAACTTGATGTATAAAGGTGCAGAGATTAGAGAAATATATAATAACAGACTTCGTTCGATTGTGGCTGTTGAATTTTTAGAAGTGTGTAATGAGACATGTTTGAAAAATAACCTACAAAGGTATGTCTTACATTGATGTTTTTATAGCTTTTGGCTTATTCAAGGTATTCAAATTAAAAAAAAAGAAATTTTACTATACACAGTTTAATATATTGAAAAAGAAAAACGAAAATACAATGTATGTATCGAAGGATAAATAAAATTTCTCTTTATTTTGAATATGTTTATTACGCATGAAAACTTGTAATGCATACATGTACATGTACATGTAGCTTACTATGCATTTCAACCCATCCGCTTATCAAGCAATTGGTCAGTTCGTTTAATAGATGACACCTCTTTGCATTTAGATTAAAGATCATGTCAAATAATCTAATGTTTAAAGTTATGCATTTGAAAGTTTCTTTGATTGTTTAAAGCCAAGACATAAACTATAGCGTCAAGCATACAGGATTTGTAAATTTCAAGTAAAGTAATTCATAAGACTTCTACAATTCAAATAGAATGTCGACTTCGCGGGAAGGAAACTCATAAATCTTCCTGGGTTTATAAGTTCTTCCAAAAGATTTAAAGTAAAATTATCTGCAGCAATGATCAGGTATGAGAGGTTCATAGGCCGAATAAAGGACGTTAAAACCTCTAACACACATTCATATACGAACACAGAAGAATACCAATGGAAACATAAATCATGCTAATACAAATATATTTCTAAGTAAATCAAAAAGTATGTTACATTTAAGTATACTATAAAATGTTCATTTCCAATAAGCAAGGAGAAAATCGGGATTAATGGTGTGGAAACCTTCTACTTGATGTTGCGGGCATCTTATCTGATTTCCCCTATCCAGAGTTCCCTCTTGAATAAAATTATTAGTGACTTCTTCGCCAAGAATTTGATTTTTGTCTTCATCACACATAAATCCAACTTCGTATGCAAGGCTTTTATGAAAGGATTTTGTGACATTCCCCAGTATTTCTTCAACTGTTTTACGAATAGAAAATGTTACTTTGGAACACATTGTCATTTGAGAGATAGACTGAAATATTTGCAGTTGAATTGTGGATGGAGTTACTGCTAAGGCAATATCATGATCACTGTGAGTGAACATCGCAGCGTTCTTGTACAAGCAACTGATGTTATAACTTCTCAGAACTTTCCAATCTTCAATTTGCATCAATGCCACGACCAAACGATAAAAGAAGAAATACGGCAAGAAATCAAACAAAAATACTAGAACTGACGTCTTTGTACTCGACCTTTTTATTATCTCTTTCTGTGTTTCTCCGAAGTCCTTCTTATTCATGGAAGGCACATAGTGCGTCTCGCCTTCACTAGAAATCAAACCCAATCTCTGCATGTACAACAATAATTCTTCTTTGTGATACATTATAAAAGAAGGGTCATCACCAAATTTGATTTCTTCTGATGAACTTTTGGTTTTCGTTTTCAAAAGTCTTTCATCTTTTATTCTCCATATGTCATTGAGAAGGGAATCTTTTAAATTTCCTGTTTTGTAGAATTCTTCCCAATCTTGTCTTCTGGCATCGATTCCCTTTACATGATGCATATCCGTCATAATAGATTTAAATGTATTAACAAACCATTGAACATCAATTATAACTGAATAAGTAAGATTTTTTTCATCAAAATGCAGAACTTTTCCAGCATCGTGGTAATATCTTAACATATCATTTGCCAGATCAAGCACTTGCCTTTCATCTCCATAATGCTTGAACAGATTTTTTATGTCGTTAATATTCATCACCCGCCTATGCCTTTCTTTCTGAAATGTGTCAGTTAATATCCATTCTGAAGGAATTTTTTCGCTCCACTTTCTCAATTTTACAACTTGTACGATAACTTCTTCAATTACATCGATCTGGTCTTTTAATAAATTTGTGCAGAAGCACATGTCCTCTCTGATGTACTGGGCGAGGTAAGAATTAACTGGCAATACCATCTGAAGGCTGTTCATAAAATCGACTTTATCCTGTAATAATCAATTTCAGAAAGATATACATCTACTTTATTCAAGTACAAATGTATGCTGAGGTAAATGTTAAAGCTTAGTTTGCATGAAATGACAAAATTCTTACCATATATCAATGTACAGAAGTAAAATTTTATTTCAATAATATATAATATGCATACGTTAAAATCTATGTATAAGCTGCATTACCTTGTAAACACACTTGTCCCAATGCGTTGCTATTATTATAATAATAACTTTACTGTCTTTATCGTTATGCGATTGCCCATGGCAATACGTGTGGATAGATTTCATCCAAAATAGAAAGTAATCTGTGAGGAAAAGAAAATATTTCTTAATATTTAGGCACGCCAGCAGATCAGTCGGGTACATTTTACAGATTTTTATCTTTCATTAAAGCCCCCATTTTTCTTCGTTGGCATGAATCAACACTATCTGAATATGATTGCATATTATTATGCATTTTATGACTTCTATGACTTCTTATGTGTTCTTTGAAATATAAATCCTTATTTCTTTTGCAACAAAACTTTGATCCTCAAATACAGATGTAACTGCAAGTAAAATTTTATACATAACCTTACCTTAAAGCGCCCAAGGTTGCAGTTGAAGGGGGGGGGGTATAGATTTTATTAAAACTAAAATTTTTCCTTAAATTATGTAAGATAGCTTAAATATTATTTTCATCATATTTTGCTAAGTTATTTATGATATTTCTTTTTCATCGACTCTTTTGAGACCAAGGCTGAAAGAGCTAATGCCATGGCATTCTGTGGTGTGCGTCAACTTTGTATAATTTAGGCCATATACATGTATTTTGTCTAATTTCGTTCATGTATATTGGGTTATCAAATTAAGTCAATTGAAAATAAATCACCCTGACCTACACTTTGAGTTATGATTTATATCTTTCAAAAAGTTGACGGTCATGTTAGATGTCAGAGAAAGGTATCAATAATCACCATGTTCTATTTTCGCAGTACAGTTAAGGTGCGCAACGGAAATATCGGCTAAATTTTGTATTTAAAAATGTATTCGTAATCGTGATGGCGATTATCTTAAGTAAATTATTTATATCGGATAATTGTAATTATGATTAATAACTACATATTGAAGACGATTATATTTTATATTTAGACTAGTCACACGATGCGGCAGTCACGCGATTTTAGCACATTGACGAAGTATTGAAGTTACATATAAATATCACTAGTGCAAGGGCATAACCAAGTTATATTTCAAAGTTTACTATATGAATATTTTTAAAAAGCATTGTAGTTTCTATAAAGTGCTGTGATCCTATCTACATTCTGTAATTTCATTGTTAGAATTATACTTGTATGACCGAATGCTATATTTTTTGCTGGTCAGCGGCATGGAATATTGATATAATTCAATTGTTTTTAAGATCTCATCAGGATCGCAGCACTTTTCAAATACCTTATAAGTTCTATAGTTGAAATGTAAAAGCTTTCTTTGATCCATAGAGCGTATGCCCTTGCACTAGATCGATTTATTAAGACCCCCACATTACCCTCCGATGTACTTGCATACAAATATACGGCAGTGTCAATTAGATACGTAATGTACAGAAAATATCTTAATAAAATAGCGAAGAAGACATTGCATTCAAGTTATTGTCTCATAGAATGTCTGTAAATAATATTTTTTTAAATTAGAGAATACATATTTTGTTGAGAAAATATTAATTGATCTGTCTCTCACTGCATATACAAACTACGTCACGTTGTAAGAAATGACTTCATATTGACAAGTGAATTGCGATCAGTGACTTGTTTATAACTTGTTCTGTGGGATTTATCTAACAACAAAACAACACGCTGTAGTAAGTTTTTATATAGTTTGATGATTTCGTACTGATTAAATTGGCAGATAAACTCATTTTGTGATATTTTAAAGAAATGTTGTATGACGTATATTGTGTATGATGTCATAGTAAAGTTTTCCCGTACAAATTAGGCTCCGCCTACTTTTTGTAACCTTAACTGTGCTGCGTTGTAAGAAATTAAGTCACAGTGGCATTATTGTATTAAATTCTTATTAAAATGCTTTAGAGGTAAATGTTGGACTCCCAGATATTAAAAAATAAAATTTTGTCAGTTGATGCATCTTGGAGAATGTCAACCAAATAGTAGGTTACCATGAGCTACTTTCACACATTTAATGACAATATTTGAATATATTTTAGCTACATGTGTATTAGTAGTAATTTCGCAGCACTGTTAAGGCTAGAAAAAGGGGGCGGGGCCTAATTTATACGGGAAAAGTTTACTGTGACGTCACACAAAAATATGAATTTTATGCATTCATCATATTACCCGAAAATGAAATAATTTGCAACTTTTAACTGTATTAGCATAATAAACAACAATTAGACTTACCAATGCATTAACAAAAGTCGCTAGTTAAATCCTATACAGCTGGTTTTAAACAAATCACTGATCTCGATGAGCTTGTCAATCATGACGTCATTTTGGTGAAAATGACGTATTTCATATACTGTGAGAGGCAGATTAGGGAATTTTTTAACAATGAAAAATGCGTTATATTATAAAACAGAATATTATTTACAGACTTTTAATAGGCTAATGATACCAATGAATATCCTTTGTTTAGTGCGATTATTCATCAACTATCGAGAGAATGTAATCAAATAATTCTGTCGTGTTTTAATGTTCAGGTTAGGTATATTTTACATCGAGGTGCCTCATAAAATCGCTTTTTCGCAAGGGCATACACTAAATAAATCTGGACAATTTTTAAAATATAAATAAAGGATATGTTCCTTAACTTGAAAAGTGTTGCTGCTTTCTTTAAATCGAGAGGATGACTTCATAAGTACACAAAATATTAAGTAAAAGTCAAACATATTTCGACATTAGCCTATTTACTTGAAATTATAACTATTAAAACGAGAATTCTATTCAAAGCAGCAGCACTTTCCAGAAAAAAAACAAAGTATGCAGAAACAATTACTAGTTTGAATTTTTAATTTCAACTAGGGTATGCCCTTGCGATATTAAAATTTGTTATTGACCTACATTCCGTGTACCTACTATGCATTCATCACGTGACTGTCCATCGATGGGACCAAACTCCATACAGTACAGAGTAGGTTATACTATGCTATTTCCAAGTTTTTAAGTTCTGTTATAATAGAACAGCTGAATAAAAATCAATTCATTTTAAAAACAATTCCCGTTTTGGCACTTCTATTTTCCGTTGATTTTTCATAGTAAGCCTGTCGATGCATCTTGTACTAACAATATATACTATGTTTTACTTTAGTTAAAATCAGTTTACTATAGTAAAATATAGTGATTACTTTTGCACTACAGTGATAGCTATAGCTATCAAAACTTTAATTACCAAATATTTATTAACCTCAACACTATGAAAAGTTTGATTTTATTATAGCGATTTGATTACTATTGTGAGAACTTTGACACTAGGAGAACTTAAACTAAATTGAAAATTTTGATTTACAATAAAGATGACTTTGACACTATGATTTCTTTGATTCATTATAGTGATCACTATAAAACCTTTAATTAACTATTGTAATTATAAATTTATCGCTATGAAAACTTTGACTCACTATAATGATTACCATGAACAATTGATTTATTACACTTTTCAAACATATATACATTAAATATATATTAAGGATGTCTTGTTTACATACCGGTATCTAAAAAAATTAAATAGGTCATTTACACTTATTTTATATAAAAGATGCCTTTCAATCTATGTTTTCCTAACAGCACAAATAAAAAAATTAACTGAATGCAAAAATTGTGTTGCAATAGAAGACTTTAATGGATATATGCTTCATTCTTACATTGGGGTAATCTGCAATGCTGAATTTTAAAAACTTTGAGAAATTGGATAATGACTCTTGATATCACAGAAAAATTATTAACAAGGGAACAAAAATTTCACATGCCTTTTCGTTTAGTGTCCTTGACTACAGAAGATTTTTAAATTTGTGTGATATTTTCACGCATGGCAGATTTTTTTTAGTCTTCGGGCTGGACTTTTGACACAGTTTACACGAGTATACACCAGCATAGTTACACAAGAGAGTAAGGTAAATTCAAAGGTGAAGATGTTTTCTGCAGCTTTGAACTAATCGTATTCAGTCTTACTCTGTCTTGGTCTTCAAAAAGTGGGGAAGAGAAATGTGCAAAAACAATGGTTTGGAATTTTTCAGAGGAAATTATATTATATAATTATAAGAATATTTAACGATGATTTTTTTAGATCAAAAGAAAAAAAAATGAAAAGTTAAAGAAAATAAAAATAATGATATCAATTACAATAAGACGTCGTAGCGTAACTGATAAGGTCACGGAGTTTCACGCTGGAGACCAGAGTTCGAGTCTGGCTGTGGGCAAGATTTTTTTTATTCTTGCATTAATAATTTTTTTTTTCATTTTTCATTCGCAAAAATGTAGACTAAATGCTATTAAATCAAGAAAAGGTGAAATAAAATTTTTAAGTTAAAGAGAAAGTCGATTATTTAATATTAAATGTAACAACCAAATATTTTTAAAGTGATATCAATACGTACTTGTGTGATGAATGAATGACTTTACCCGCACTTTCTAAAGAAAGTTCGGGTATATTGTTGTTACCTATGTCCGTCCGTCCGTCCGTCCGTCTAGCACACTTTTCTTCCCTGAACTCCTCCTACATTTTACACAGTAGCTTAATCATCTTCTAGGAGATGATTGGTTATGTATTGTAGATGTGCTGAAAGGTTTCGGAATCGCAGCACAGTTAAGCTTACAAATGGAATTATCAGCAATTTTTTAAGAAAAAAAATACATACTATATTAGGATGGGCAAATCTTTTTTTATGAATTCACTGATATCAAAAAAATGTAATGTGGTTTAAATCTACATGTTGGGGACTTTTAGATTTTTTATTTAGACTTGTCATGTAATGTCGACGTCACATGACTTTGGCAATTATAATTTCAGTTTAGAGGTCATCTATAAATTTCAATATTGCAAGGGCATAACCAAGCTAAAAATCTTAGTATATTTTTTAATCCTTTTCAACACTTTATGTAGTTTGTGAAAAGTGTTGCGAACCTATATAGATTCCCTTTTTTAATTGGTAAAATTTAATTTGCTGGACGGCAGGTTGAATATCTTGCTGGTCAACTACATTAAATATAGCTATTATTAGTTTATTTGCAAGATTTCAAGAGCTCCGCAGCACTTTTCAAATATCTTAATGCTTCTCGAGTTTATGTGTACAATTTTGACAAGATACATTGAG